GCCCTGCACAAGTTGCACTAGTTGAGCGACAAAACTTGGTTGCGAACATTGCAGACCCCTTCCCTACCATTAGCCACTTTTCCAGCTATCAGGATGGTCTTTTCGGAAACGACCTTGGCCAAGCTTTTCGCCTAGAGAACTTCAGCACTTCCCACATCCGATCTATTGGACTCTCTTCTTTTGAGTGAAGTATAGGGATTTTAATAGTTTTATTTCGATCAAAAATGTTTTGTTTGAACCGAGAAATGCGCTTTCAAATTTGAGGGTCAACATCGGCGGAAACTTCCCGAAAAACCAATAATAGAGAGCGAAATTTAACCTGTGAATTAGCTTTATCGTCCACTTCAGCGTCTTCATCCTCTAGATCAAACTCCCCCTCTTTCTCTTCATATTTCGCATTTTCTTCTAATTCAGTGAATTCTGGTGCAAATGCAGACCAGTTCTCAACGTGAGCCTGAAAATACACGAAGTTACCAAAAGAAAACAACCCCACAATTGGAAAGTCACCAAGGCCTCGAATAATGAAAATTTGAAAGACTAAGACGTGCTGAAACGTACCTGAGTCCACACCGATACCATGCCATTAGCAACGGATAGTATAACCGGCCGAATAGGATGCCACTGAACATCCATCAAACACTCGCCCTGCAATGATGTAAAGTTTCTTAACGCCATGAAACAGAAAACTTGGATGTTAAATCACAAAGCCTGAACGCTCGAAAGCAACTATATTACGACTAGAATGTTTTATCAAATCCATGTTGGGATAGATAACTCAACCTTAGTTCCGTGTAGGATCTTAATCAAAGTGCCAGTGGTCCGTTCCCAAACATACAAGGAGTGCGCTTTCGTGCTGGCTCCACATATATAATAACCTTCACTGTCTGTACAAACAGCTTTCCAAGATGCCTGAAATCAAGAACACCTCAAAATTGTAAGGACGATGCCCCTCTCATATAAACTTCGAAAAACCATTCGAGTACCTTATTAACGATGTCTGTGACACGATGCTTTGGCTCAATTGTGGAGCCATTTTGACAATCCAAAATGTCATTTAAATCAAATGTTCGTATAATGCGGTCCTGTGAGTTTGTTATGATAAAATTGCCTCTCCTTGGAATGACAATTTGCTTAACCTGTAATACAAAATCAATTCTAGAAGGGGAAGAAACGTTAAATACGAAAACAGTGTCACTTCTCTTACCTGCTGTACACTGTTTTGCCTTCCCCATGACACCATTTTCAGAGTCTTTGCATTGTACACAATGAGTTTTCCCTGAAAGAGACTATTTTTAAAGAGAGTAAACTACGGAAGTGAGAGCAGTAGCATCAGAATGAATATTGGGCCAAGCAAGAATCTTCCGTTAAATAACGCCGTACGATTTTTTGCGATTATTTCTGACAGTACTTTGTCATTTGTAATCACACAACATTCCGCTCTCTTTGCTATATAAGCCCTGAGCATCTGCTTCAGCGTGGAGGTTAAACGCGAACAAAAAAAAGATTATTGGTATTCACGAGTATATTGCAATTGTATACATAGTCGTGCAACATTAATCACCATTTTTGCTTGCTATAAGTTTTAACCGAAAAATTATGCTAGTGTTGTATATCAAATGTGCGGCAGGATGTGAACTTTTGATATGAAAACTACCCTACTCAACATTTTCGAGAACATACCAGCTGGAAAAAACGGCACGAAACTTACTTCGATCTAATAGGCTCGAGAATAGTAATAGTGCTTACTTTGTTTGTTCCGGTGATAAGGTAGTTGGCTCTGCGGTCAAATGCTATAGCAGAAACGCCATCCTCAACAGCACCGGGGATATCATTGGTAATAATGCGTTGAGACCGTGGCTCAAGCTCATCGAGGCAGGGAGGATAATTCAGTTGCAATACCAACACTTGATTGTCGTTTCTAAAATATAGAAAATCGCCAAATCGAAAAAGTTGACTAGCTAACAGGTAAGTTTCACTTTCTGGATCGAATCAATTAAACCCTCAAAGGGTGAGTCCTTTTTCTGCCAAAAGGTTAGCCGACCGAGCTGCCGATGAAAGAAAGCAGTCAGGAGCTGCGCCATCAGATCTAGTGGTATCCGCCCCAAGTTGGAAAAGAACACGACATACGTCAACTAGTTATCCAGATCAAACCCGAACAAGTCCTCTCTCACTTTTAAAATTCTAACGATAGTTGTAGGGCGGCGACGGTGAGAGGACGCTGCAGAAAGCCGATATGCTGATAAGGCGTGCTTACCGCGTAATTGCTAGCGCGTGATTCACTAGGACAGAAAGCGACTTTTTTCGCGTTTCGCAGCGCGAAACATTTTCGCTGCGGGAACCTCAGGTCCACCGCTGATCATGAGTGGACCTGGAGTTCCTGCAGCGAAAAATGTTTCGCGCGCGAAACGCGAAAAAGTCGCTTCTGTCCTAGTGACCCACACCCTGATTGTTATCAGATCTATTACGAATAGAACCAATAAAAACCAAAGGACCCAACCAATCAATGCATAAAGACTCCGATACCGCTTTCATTGTATTCCAGCGGGTGTTAACTCGCCTCATTAGTTCACCTTATACGAAAGCAATGGTTTGAGTTTTGGGCAGATACGCGACAATATGATACAACGTGATGATCTAAGAAGTCACATACCGTGGATTGAACACAGCAGAAGTGACCATCGCTGAATACTTTAATCTGTACATGCTGGCACCTTCAATAACGTTCCACACGGCAACGGTAGTATCTGCGGAAGCAGTGAGCAGTTTTCTGCCATCCCGAGACCACGATAATGAGGAAATGGGTAGAGCATGAGCTGTCCATGTCTAAAAGTCACGTTACAAAGAAAGAATAAAGGCGTGGAATACGATACACATTCAATCGCTTTCTACAAAGTTGATTGATAACAGCATACCTTCACTATACCTTTCGTGACAAAGTCAAAAATGAATACTCGTCCATCGGTGCTTCCCACGGCCACTAGTGTACCCCAGCGATTGAATTTACAGCAATTAGCAGCTCCGTTCTGAAAATGACAATTTGGCAGTGAGACTAAAGACATCACTATACTTGCACAATCGTAAGCCAAAATCTCTTTTGTCGCTAAAATGGTAGATCCAATAATCTATAATATATCTGAGGCTCGACAAGAAGAACCGCCTTCCATCCACTAGTGTCGCACCAATGCTAAGCCTCTCTCCAGTAGCGTAATGATGTAGAGCCAAAGAGGAAATGGCATACCAGTCGTAAAAACCCTTATTCTCGTGGCTCTCAAATCCCAAACCTACAATACTACACTCTCTCTCCCTCCAGACGCGGTCATAATGACCATCAGCGACAACGTATATTTTCACAGAGAATGACCGCTACCCCGTCATAACTAATAACGCCTCCCACTGCTTCTTACGCAGCCTATGCGAGAATCTGCTTGAGTTCCCATCTACATATGACTAATTTTCCTCGATATTCAATATTACGACCAGCCTCCTATGTGATACCTTCGATCATGAAGGTGCCTTACAATCCTAAGATGGACAAATCATTCAGCGTTGATCAAGAGCTTGTCAGGATGCGCCACGCATTCTACTTCCACTCAGAATTGCAGCGGCTAATGAATGCGTTGGCCTTCACATACGATGACTATGAAGGGCTAGCCGATGTGCCATAAACCCTAACAAGATCACCAAAATGAATTCCGGATGGATGAAAAACATGGTGGGCATGACTTATCGAAATTGCTGGGATGTGTACAGAATTTTCTAACACTCATGGTTGTTTTCTTTTCTGGTCCAGCCTAAGCATATATTTCACATCCCTCTATTCATTGTTACCAGTTCTCTTTCGGTTTCACTGACAGAATACTCGTGGCACCTCCACGTTTGATGTTGGCTTTGCCCAACTCTTGCTCTTTCAAAAATATTCACACTTTCCAACATGCCTTGGTTTTCGCTCTTCATGGGATAATTTCTTCCCGCTTTCCTACTTTTTCTCGTCTGCCATGACATCTCAATTGGAGTTTACCACTGTTGAACCTCTCAAGGATTTATCTTCAGAAACGATGTTTGCTATCCATTCTATTAGTCGCAAACTGTTTCTAGAAATGACTGTTCATAAATGCACTCACTGCACACAACCAGTAGGATTACGTTGCGTCTACACCCGCCCAACAGCGAAGACTCACCGAAGTATGGCGGTTTCTAGGCCGATGTCGGGCTTTGCGAGTCCAGCGATCCGCTAGCGGATCGCGGGATACGAGCGTTGCGCAGCAAATCCAGGTGCGCACCAGCGAATCGAATGATGTACCGGAATCTCAACGACGTTTGGAAATGACGGGAGTCCCTCCCGTTCGCACGGACTCTTGTCAATTTGCCGGGCTCCCATCCCTCTCACTCTCTCATGCCCAAGTGAGCCCGAGAAAGTGGCGAGAGTCAACGCGCGAAAGATAGGGACTCCTGCCACTTTCAAACGCCGTCGAGTCATACATCGTTTGAACCCCTGGTTCATCGCTATACAATAGCAAAACACGAATTCGCAAAGTCTGACACGGAGCCTAATGCCGGCCTTACGACATAACCCCACGATGTCGAAGAAGAAGGATCAGACCGAGGCGTTTTTGTTCTACCTGTTCACGATCCGGTGAAAAGCGTTATGAGTTGCCCTCGTCTGCGCTCTCTCAATCACCATTTGAAAACGCATATTGTAATACACATCTCATCTTAAATAGCTACGGCTTCCAACTTCTCACGCGTGTCAAGTGGCTCGCCACCCCCTGGACTGGCTGAACGTCCTGGTTTAAGATTTTCCCGCCTACGCCCGAAGTGTACGGCGCAACATTGCCGTCGCGGCGACCGCCCCCACCTCCACATTGTGCCGAAACACCTTACCATGCCACTTCTATCAAGTGCAGCGGCCGCCACGTCATATACGTGGGCTCCACTACCCGGACGGTGAGGTATGAACAATGATTGTGCGATCGCTACGATCGGTGCCGACTATGAAAGCGCCCTAAGAATGTAAGGAAAGGATTTGGAGCAGAGTCAACCCTGCGTTGCGCAGTTCTCAACGGCCACGTTGCGCAGTTTCGCCCGATTAGACACGTTCTCTCGCGCGAACATTCACACTCGCATGCTCGAGCCGTCTGCGTCTCCGCCCACAGCGTGCGTTGAGGATCTCTCAACGTGCCGTTGCGAACTGCGCAACGCAGGGTTGACTCTGTTTTGGGACACTAACAAAACAAAGCAACTGTAATGGTGGGACCCTACGAATCGTATTCGAAACTGATGCAAGGTTTCGTTCCGTAATGGCGGGAGGTCTCGCATTGTTTCTAACTTTCCTCCAAAAATGTAGGTAAGCGATAAGGCATACCTGTAAATCCAATGTACCATCAGTTCTTCCGGAAATTGCACTCCGAAATTCCTCTCTAGTAGCTCTGCGTTCATCATCTTGAAAACGCTGAGTCTGAAACAAGAGCTTCCAATTGGTAGTATTCAACAATGCCTGGAACTGAAGACGTGAAGGACATTTAAGCCTTGAAGTGTTAGTGACTTGAATCTTTCATATTCTTATTGAGTTGAGCACTATTCAACTATTACACTACAACCTAAGGCCCTGTTCAGAGATGTCCGCTTGCGCGAAAAAACGCATAGGCGAAACAATGTGAATATGTATCGACTGAACGAAGACGCAAGGCGACTTACGAACGCTTCGCTCACGCGATTTTCCGCCTGTGCGTTTCTCACAGTCGATACATATCAAACTCTTGACTGAAATTCGCCTGCTCCGGACGTTTCGCTTACGCGTTTCACAATTTCTCAGTCGATGCGTATCTAAATCTTGGCGGAGATTTTCGCCTGTGCGTTTTTTCGCGCCGGCGGACATCTCTGAACAGGGCCCTAAGAATTCAACATCCCATTTTCCGAAGATAAGCCGTTTCTGCCGCGAAAACCCCATTCATTATCTACTTGGACTCTCTTCTACCCTCTACACTAACCACCTCTCCTCCATGCTTACATCCTATTCTTTATTAGGCCGCGTTCATAGTTCGCGACTCGGAGATTAGGACAGTACGCAATAATGAAAAACATACGTATTGACGGGGAGATTAGGATAGTGGTAGAGTAGGAGATTGCGCTGACAAGACTAGATACGTATCGATTCGAAATCGCTGAGAGGGTAGTAGATTGCGATATTACGATAGTAGGATAGTAGTAGAGTAGGAGATTAGGATAGTAGTAGATTAGGATAGTGCGCTGACAAGATTAGATATGTATTGATCTATTCGCTTGAAGTCGCCCAATCTACTACTCTCCAGCGATTTCAATCGATACGTATCCAATCTTGTCAGCGCAATCTCCTACTCTACTACTATCCTAATATCCTGTCGCCTACTATCCTAATCTCCCGAGTCGCGAACTATGAACGCGGCCTTAAGTTTGTCTGGTAGGGTAGGCGGTCGCCGCGTATAGCCTCCATTCCCCGCCTACATCACCTAGAAACTTTGCCAAATATGCCGTTCCTTCGGATTCAATATAAATAGAAAGACTTCTGTGCAATGAACCCGTCTTTCTAATGAGCAGTGGTTTGAGTAGACGAAAGCAAGACTGCTTGAATAATGGAAATTTACCTGTTGGTTTTGAACTAACCCTATAATCGCGGCGAGTTTCATCCAGTGCCAACTTTTTCAGCGGCGTGCGTAGCGTTCTTCGGGTCAGGTCACCCAAAGTTGAGACGCCGTTCATTCGCTCGCAAGCTTAGGACTAAGCCTAGACCCAGTTGTAGGATCAGGCATAAGCCAATGTGTAAGCATAAGCCTTAACCTGTCTAAACCCAAGCTTAACCTCAAGCTTTAACGATCGCGAAACTGTGGTGACCTGACCCTAGAAGGAGAAACGCACGTCTCACATATGTCGCAGAGGAGTAGAGGAACATCTTGAGGCGCTTCTACCTCCGCTCAATGAAGACTGTCGAATATATAGCAATTTAATTACCATTATCCAACACTACTTGTCAAACGATTTAGGTATGTAAGTAAGCCTACAAGAAATCGTTCGGTATCGGGGGTTGCTTTATGGAGTCGTAAATCTTCAAAATTCAACTCAATGAAGAATTCATGGAGCGTAAAGTGACAGGAACTTTGGATGTGATTTGGTAAGATCGAAATGTGGGTGCTTACCTAGTTTGGAGGGGGGGGGGGACCACGCGGCGCACAGCGCTCTGTTCGTGCTGCCTCTAAGGCAGCTAAGGGGTAGTTTACTGATTTCGCACCATCGTGGCGGTTTCGAAAACGCAATTGGACTTTAAGCTTTGGAGGAGCAGCACGGAGCAGAAGCTCCCGGTTCCCACCCCCCCAACTAAAATTTAGCACCGAAATGGTTTGGAAACATAAAGCAGTCGAATAAGGAAAACTCATTGCGAATTGTCGTGCTATTATTCTAGTTGGGGATCTGCGTTGAAATGATTACTTCGGTGTGGTTCACCAATGGGCCGGGTGCAGGCAAGCCCAAGAGAGGGACCTATCCCTCTTGGGGGCTTGCTGCACCGGCCCTTAGGAAGGAACGCGACCTTTTCGCGTTTCGAGCACGAAACTTTTTCACTGCAAAGAAACTTCGGGCGCACATGATCGATGAGTGGACTGGAGTTCCCAACATAAAAAAAATGTGTTTGGCGATGCGAAACGCGAAAAAAGCCGCTTTCTGTCCTAGCTATCACACCCTGTAGAAGAATATGGAGTCTAATTGAGTAAGGGGGAAGTAGGTGAGGCACGAGGAAAGGCAGTTGCTCTCGTCTACAGAAACTCACTTCCCACGGAGCTTCCTTTCTCTGGGAGGAATAGGATTACTTTAGGCAATGTGAACTGTCACACACACCCTCCTAAGTGGATGAAGTGACTAAATATGAATGAAATCCACGAGAAAGAAAATACAGAAGTAGCCCCACAGCTGACCCTCGGGAGTAAAGCCGCGTCGCGCGCGACGTCGTGCGCAAGCGGAGCCGCTTCGCGGCGAATGGCATGCGGCATTGCTGCTGACCTCTCGGTCCGGAAGTATTTTCGCATATTTCTGGGACTTATTTCCTATTTTCTTACCGGATTTGATATCTCTGCGCTTAGAACGATAGCATTAGAGAACTTTATTTCTTAAGCTGATCTGTTGCTCCAGTTTCAGTTCGAATCTACTCTGGTTCATTTTTAGTGCAATGACGAGATTCCATTGAATTATCTGCGACGACATAGGGCTGTTCATACTTGTCATCCTGCTTATCTTTCTGAAGTTGTTCTTAAATACTTATAAAAGGCCAAAGCGATAGCAAGCACCGTGAGATTCGTCAAAACTAACATTTCAGGCTGCTTTTTCTTTTTACCTGGGGCGATCAAGCAAATGCATTTCTTCGTGTCCGGACTTTGCTTTGAGAAATCTTGGTTCGATTGGGAAAGATGTTTAACATTCCCTGATTAGCGCTAGTGTCATCAATAATGTTATCCGTCGATTGTGGAAGTCGACACGACTGGAAGCTTTTTATAAGCAACTCCAAGGCTATTAGTCTGTACATAGAATTTATAAAAAATCGAAGTGGATTGGAAATTTGTTGAGCTTCTGTCCTTGCTGTTGCGTAAACTCATGAGAGTCTACTTGCGTGGCGCTGTGATAGGTTAGTGATCGCTTCGATAGCCATTATGGCCAGCTTTTCTCAAGAGTGAGTGAGTGGCTATTTATACTGAAGTCAATGGGATCAAGAATGCCGAATCCTCTATAATTCGACTTGTGCCACGAAATCCCTTTTATGCGGCATCACGGTGACTTCTTCCAGCCACTGCCTTTCATTATGATACCTGCACTTTGCACTGCCAAAGTTCCTTGAGGATACTGCCTTCTAACTTTGATCTATTCTTTCCACGCTCTGACGCGTAAAAGGTGCTCCGCGGCGAAGTTGCGTTGCGGCTCCGTCGCGTCGCTCAATCTTCGAGGTGCGCGGAAGGGGAGCCCATTTTTGCCGTTCGGCAGTTTTAGTTTTGGCGGTTTCTTGTGGAGTGGATTTGGTGATCTGGAAATACTCAACGATGCTCTGTTTCCAGTGCTTGCTACAAACTCGTCTGCATCTAGGTGCTACGTCATGAGTTCTAATTTTCGAGGCAACTTTGTTAGTTGGAAAACTAGCAATTCCTTGAGGTCAGCTCCTGCTCTGTTTTCTGGTTGTGTCGTTCATTTTGCTCTCATATTCATGCACGCTGGTATCTGTTGTGCGTTCCAGACTTGACATCCCGAGAAAACTTTGGTGGAAGTTTCTTCAAAGAGTCAGTCTTTATCTTTTAGCAACCCCTACACACATACTTACGGAAACGGTTTCGACGCCGGCCCAATTGGTTATAATCCAGAGTTTCCATCGGTTCACAGTACCTCAGGAGGATCTGGGCTTTATCAGCATCAGCAGGTTAGTGCTTTCAAGACGTTCTGGTAAAAGCGGATCATTAGGATTCTAACAGCTGCGGGATACATGGGGTCGTATCCAATCCTTCCCTTAGGCAAACAGAAGTGTCCTCTAGATGTACTTGTTGGTGCTATCTTACTTGAGGGGGCCAGGACGGCGCGGTGCTCTGTTTGTCTGTTCCTCCAAAGGCTAGTTTGTTAATTAGTTAATTAACTAGTTAACTGTTCCCAGGGACAGTTACTATTTCGCCATCACGTAACAGTTTCGAAATACGCGCCATCGAGGACTAAGCCTTGCAGGAGGAGACGAACAGAGCGCCGCGCCGCCGCGTGGCCCCTCAAGCAAGATAGCACCTATTTGTTTCCAAAGACACACTTCTACATTATCAATATGTATGCCCTTTTTGAGGGTGGTTTTTGTTGAGGAGACAAAACTTGACGGGGTTTTTTTTCTTCTAGCCTGGGGGAAGGATAGGATACGGCTGATAGTGGAAACCTCGAAAGAGAATAGCGAGAATTGTTGTTTCCCTATTACTATTGGGTGGTCTACTACAACTATTGAACTCGGTCCTTTAAGCCGCCTCAACTCGATGCTCTCGTCTGCGCTCTCTCTTATCAGCGGCTCATGACCATTGTGATCTCACACATTCAAACTTTTGCCACACTGTAGTTGGCTCACCCACCTCGAAGTCCCTCCCTCCTACAAGGCTTAGTCCTAGAGCTCTCACCCCTTCTTTGGAGCCGAGCCAGGCGCCGATCTCTGACCATCTGTGCTCTTTGTGTTTAGTTCATTTTACTCCAACACTTGATTTCTTCAGTATCTTCCTTCGCAGGACGAGTATAATCCCGTGTATCCAAGCTACTCAAAGCCTGTTTACTCACGGGAACTGTCGCAGCCTTATCAGGTTGGTTCTTTCCCTAAATAAAAGAAGTCTCACGCAAAGATAATGGCAGTAATACTGCGGTTGTCGTCACTATTAGAATTTGGTTCCTTGGACCTGTACTATTACGGCACCGTGCAAGCCATGTTAGGTAGTAAGTAGTTTGGGTACGGAATAACGTCAACTTTGTGGAATTTTTTCACAGATGCGCTGGTACCATAAGAAGATTTGATTCATCTCAAAAAGAGATTAGAAATGGGCATGGGGCGCCAAGATATAATACATACACATGGAGATCATTCATCGCAAAAACTTAAGACCATATTTTGCTCCTTCAGGGAATGAAAATTCCATGACAAATGTTCATGAAATCAGTACTGTTATATTTCAAGGAGCACTCCTTGGAAGAGCTCCATCTTCAGAGAAATAGCCTGCGGCCCATAATCTTCACACAGAGAAGTGTGAAGCCGTCCATTATTTCGCATGAGAAGCAAGTCTGGTAATCTCTAGTGAACTCGGTGCTACTATTTAGAAGTGGTTTAAATAAGGAATGAATTGATAGCATTAGACACTGATCAATACCTTTGGACAGAGCTTCTACTCCCGTCTTGAGTCGTGGTGGGATTTTCAATGCCTTTGTCTTTCTGGATGAACACGTTTTCACTCAAACAACTGGAAAGATGAATAGCCAAATTGACTTGGGTAAGATTCGATACGGGAGTCAAATCCCGTATCGAATCTTACCCAAGTCAATTTGGCATGCGCCTGGTTGGCGACGCCGCTCCTCATTATTCCACCTCCGCCAATGCCCTAAATGGGAGTGTTTATTCATGGATTCCCAGCGCTTTTGCATTTTAACATCGGATCGCTAGCAGTTGTGAAACCTTGATGGCACTGATATCACCAGTAAGTTTCTGGTCAGTCGTGGAAACACTTGCCTTACTCATGATTTTTTCTGCATTTGCTTCTCAAATTCTGTGGGTTCTAAGTTATTTGATATTATTTCTATCACCAGCACAACGTGTTAAGTGTTCTATATATTCGTAGTTATATAAATAGTTTCTGTGTTTGCCGAGAAGTGCCAATTTTGAATGTATTTTATGTCATCTATTATTTGAGTGAGCACATATCCCAAATTTCCTTCTCCTTAAGACTCGCCGAGGCGTTTATCAATCGAATCGCTCAACTCGCGCTCACAATACTAGGAACGCTCCACGACCAAAAAAGGTCCATGTTTCGATGCTTAATAGCCTGCTCCTTTGTTCAAATCAAATCTGAGTGCTACGGTGAGGCTTCTAGTTGGGTCTGTCATACGTAATTTTCAGAGTAAATCTGTGAAGGGTTCGAAGAATACAGCGAAAACGAAGGCTTCTGCTAGTGCGCAACGAGTTACAACTGAATCGTCTTCTTCGAATTCGCAACTGTGTAAAGCAGAGGAGACACCACACAGTAGTGGTGAGGTTGACTATTAGTATTCTATGGAGATCTGTCTTGAAATGATTTAAACGCCCAGATTGTCCAATTTTTCAGACGATCAAAAGCCTGGAAGGATTCGTACAGCGTCACCTAATCAACCTGACATATCTGTGCTGAAAATCATTTCGCCCAAAAGGAATAGCAAGCAACCGCGTAAACTTCAAGCGGTAAATAGTGAAGCGGGTCGCAAGCGTGGAACACCTGGATCAGGCTCTGGTAAACTTGTTTGTGTGTCTCTGATTTATTAATAGGACCAAATAGATTCCACGGCACTATAGATTGTTGCAATCCCAAAGTGCAAAATAGTCCTCACTTTGCAATCCCAAAGTGCAAAATAGTCCTCACTAAGGCCAATGTCAGACTTTGCGAATCCAGCGAGTCGCGGGATACGAGCGTCGCACCAGCGAGTCGAGCTGCGTACCAGCGGTTCGAACTGTGTGGCAGCGAATCGACACTGGAAAGTGGCGGGATTTCTTTCGAACGATGGGTTCGCAGAGTCTGATATCGGCTTGAAGCTCATGACTGGTATGCTGATCACGACCATGCCATTTTATGGGGCAGTCTTTTAGCGAGTGACTATTTGAGGAATTTAGTGAATGTTTCATAGAATACAAGGGGTAGACATTTCCCCGTTCAGGCACAGCAGCCATTAATTGGTAATATTTCTAGGTGTGAGAAAAAATATGAGTTATATGCCCTTTGGAACAGGAATGCCACGAGGAGGATTTGGAATGATGCGAGGAGGTCGTGGTGGTCGTGGTGGGCGCAGATACGTCTCTAAGCCTACTAATAATCCTATGGATATACCTGTCAGTTTTTTTTTTGCAAATTTTCACTGTGCAACCCAGCAGCTCCCTCAATTTTGATGATGCCTATTTTTTCCGATTCCAGTTTGTTCCAATTCCGGAAGACGCACCAGCCATTACCTTAACCATCGATCCGGACAATTTCATCTGCTTCCACGGGTTTTCCAGTGTTTTCACAACACAGCACACTGTTAGTATTTCCTTACTTTTCATTCTGTAATTAAGTACGCTAACAGGTATGGTTTCTTCTTTTATTACACTTTTTGCAGTTCCCTGTGTTGATTGATGGCAAGATCTACGAAAGTGGCGACCACTACTACCAAATCCAAAAAGTTCACGATTTATGCGGGACTGTCAGCGATAAGTTAACTGAAACAGGTGCGTGTTACAGTAATCACGTCATTTCGTAGAAGTCGCCTGGCAACTGGCAGTATTTAAGGCTCACGCCTAATAGCTTGTATGACGCCATTTCTCATGAAGTCCCAGCAAAAATCTGTTGCTACGCTTTAAGTCTGCGCTAAATCAGTGCTCGTCATGTACGGCGCCGGGGTTTTTGACCTAGGATATAACCATTCGAGTATGTGTCGAAATTTTCTGTTACTGTAAGCACGCCAATGTATTTATCCAATTCCTCTTGCAAAGCAATTCGTTCTATTAGCTGGATTTCATCTGCTGATGTCTTTTAGCAAGTGGTACAAATCACAACTGTAGGAACGAAAACATTAGAAATCGACAACGCGCGACACAGGCGATTCCTGCAAAAGATGCGTATACCGCTGTTGTTGAAAGTGGCCTCAAACGCGTGAGTACAAAGGAGCTGCCAAAGTTTGTTCACCAAAACATCACTTTATTGAGAAAATGGTGCACATGTGATATTCCGCGGTTCACGGCTGGCTTCCTCTTTTTGTGGAAAGCGCAGTCTATAAGGAGGGAGAGAGTTCTGATAGGTGCCCTCATGTGGCGCTTTTCAGTGATATCACTGCGATGGTACGGCGAAGGGTACGATGGCAAGTGCCGCAGCCGCTTTGCTCGAATGATAATAAGACATTTCAATCGAAGTGCTGAGCGCAATAATTACACAACTACTATATACTAGTACTGCGTAGTGCGTGTCGCCAGTGAGCCTTTGGTGAAGCTATTTCGATAGGTTAACTTTCAGGGCTACATTGCAAATTTGCTTTTTAAGCGCTAATTTGAACACATCTGCTATTTCTTTTGTTCCTGGTATCTCCTTATAACATCGTGATCTCCACGCAAGCTGTATATCGAGATAGAGGGACATTGAAGGTAATTTCGGTTTTTCAGTAAGAGATGAGAACGGTCGCCGCCTCGATGGAAAAGTTGGCTTCAGCGAGCACAGGGACAAGAGCTTCAGTCAGATTGCTAAGGAAGTGATCCGACTCAATAATGTAGGTTCACCTCCTTTCCGCACATAGAAAGGAAAGACTACCCCGGATATTTTTATTTGAAGATATGTCCATTTTGCACCCTAGGTTTTCTTTTTAGGTAGATAGGAAGAAAGTCGACGAATGGCGATATACAAAAGGTTTGGATGCAATGCAGAAAGCGCTCATGGCAAAGGTAAGGAACTGTATCATGTGAAATCCAATAGTTGTTGAGTGCCCTCACAAGGTGCGGTTTTAAGGTGTCTCAATCTGTGGTTCTTCGCCAGGCGCTCTCAGAAAGCGGGAAGAAGATTTTGGTGCACGCCTTCCCTGGGGACAGCATTTATGGTGCAGGGTAAGGTGGTACTTGGTAATGGTCTTGTTTATACTGAAATCTGATAGAGTAGAGCTGTCCAATTTCTGCAAAAAAAAGAGGGCAAATACGCTTTTTTAATCCAATTTTTTCTCAAGTTTTTATTTTTTTTCCTTTAGAGCAGCAACCACCAAAACAATAAATTGTCCACAACTTCTGTTTTCAACTTTTAATACCCACTTTTCTGTCAGTTGCACATACAGCTCTTGTTCAATTTAGCGGTCGTGCTTATCTTACGATATTGTTAGTATGAATAGTATATTTTTAGATGCAGACAAGCTCAAGTGAAAAAATGGTGTGAGAGTATGAAAGCGAATGGAGCAACGACTATTCGAGTAAGTCACTATTCTCACTCAAGTTGGGTGAGAAGCCCAGGTTCGCGCTTCTGAGGAGCTGCACTGTTGAGAACATTTAATGAAGGATCATATCCAAAAACTGCTTCCTCTGGTGCTCTCTGCGTTGATATAACACCAGTTTTGTGATCAAAATCGACTTTTGGCGCATCTATTATGGGAGATTATTATTTAGTTTGAGGTACAATTTGCTTTACAGATCCCAGCCACATTTCCTTTGACGTCTGAGACCGTTTTCAACTGTCCGAACTTTGCTCAAGGTCGCAATGTGCTAGGAGTCATTCTAATGCAGCTAAGGTTATTCTTGTTCCGCTTTTTTGAAACTTTTTGGAATCTATTTGAAATTAGGTTTCGAAGTTGCGGTTATCTCATTGAGTGCGCATTTTACCTTAACTGTGCTACTGGTTTAGAGAGATGTTGCGCGAGAACAAAGTACCAATCGTTGACTTGGGTACTGTATTCGACTCTCTACGCATCGGAACGAACAACGTTTGCGATGCAAGCATGGATGATCAGGTCTGTAGATGTTCTTTTTTTGGTTTAATGTTCAACGCTAATTTTCAGGCGCTACGTTTCATCTCTTAAAAATTTAAATTCCCCTTTTTCCCGTTCCTCTTTGAAAAAAATCTCTTCTTATCAGCACTCACAGAACATCGCGAAACCCAAAGCATCTTTAGACGAAAGGAACTCCAAACAGCTACAACTGCGACGTAGCTATGAGAGAACGTTTGTTCTCCCTTTTCTTCCTCTACTAGTTTTTTTTTCAAGCGGTTTCTCTTGCGAACTCCTGAATAAAGTCGGGCGGTCTTGCTGCAGGGCTTTTATTTGGGAGATTAGCATCCCTCAGGCTTTTTTTCGAATATCAATTGATAAGCGCAATTGCGAATTCGGATCTTGAAAGGTTGGTTCGCAACTGGCTCACAGCATCTCTTTCAACTTCGTTTTTTTTTTCTCCTGTTGCTGTTAATCGCGCTGGAAAGTCCTTTTTTAGGATTGTGGAGATGGCTTTGCTATTGGCGGTGGTAGTATTCAGGCGAAGATTGGAGGTGGTACAAAAGCGTAAAGCCGTCACTTGAGCTCGACCATATTCTTGTGAGCACTTTTAATTTTGTCTTCTGTCGAGTTTTGCTTCTTTATTGTTTTACGCAAATAATAACGGTTTTGTTCTCTTGATATTTTATTGTTGTTCTTGTGTTCCTATTTCCTGTTCCAGTCAACCGGTTTTCTACTCCTAATCCTTGAATTTGTTGTTAGTTTGTTATGTATAAATTTTAACACGAATATAATTTTGTTCTGAAGATTTGTGTCTTTTTTGAAAAAAGAAGCTTTCGATGCTGTTGTGTTGACACATATGAAAACACGTTCAAGCGAATTAGACAGCTCACAACAGCTACAACTCATTGAAGACCTGGCAAATTTTTTCCCTTTTTGCGGGTGTGAGACTGCGCCTGGATAATTCCGAGAAACGCGGCGTAATGTTAGGACCCATCTACACCAAAAACATGATCTCAGTGCAGGACTGTTGAGACTGCACATCACCTCTCAAGTTCTTCACAGTGAGCGGAAATCGGTGGCATGGGCCAGGGAGGATCCAGCACAAGCTAAAGAAGCCTTAATTTTCCACTCCAGAATCCAAAACCATTAATTTGTTATATCCGGAATAAGGGCGGAAGTGGTGTAGTGGCAAGTGGCACGCTTACCACGCGAGCGGTCCGGGGATCAAATCCTGGGTCGTGAGTCGCCCGGGCCAACCAAGCCTTCCATCCCTCCGGGGTCGGTTAATTGGTACCAGACTTGTCTGGGAGGATAAAAACACTGACTTGTACATCGGCTGGCCCCGCAAGTCATTGTATAGGCCACATCGCATTCAAACGCCACTACGAATGTACAAATGGAAGTAGAATGCGTGCCGCATCCCAAAAAGGGATTGATCAACGGCAAATGCTTTATCCTTTATCCTTTATCCGGAATAACAATGTGAAGGCAGGACTTGAGAGCAAAGTGGTGTGGTTCTTGTAAACGAACGTGAACGCATTGATGCAAAGTGGGGCGGCGGTGAAGTATTAAAGAGAAAAATCCGTAGAAAACAGTCAAGTTGAGTATTAGGTCACATTTGTGCTAACCAGCTTCCTCCATTATATTGCTTCCTCAGGGTCTTGCCACAATCACCTCTTTACTTGAAAGCTTAACCATTTGCGGACGGGCCATAAAAATACGCAGCAGAAATGAGATTAAAGGCACGTTCCGGGATTAGGCGCGCTTGCCTGTCCTATTCCGGGGCAGGGTCAACCCCACGTTGGGACAAGTACCAACGGGGTCGTAGTTTGCTGAGTTTGTGGGGGGGTGTAAGAAATCTCTCATGAAGGAGGGGGTCGTAAAAATTTTTTAAAAATCTCAAAAGGTATTCGTTGAACCATCCCGGAGTAGTAGAAAGGCGGACAAGTGTTGTTGTCGCACCCCTTTTGCCGCTTGAAAGTGCGCGACAAAGGCACAAGCAGCTCGTCCGACCTGCAACTCACACCTTCGTCCGCAAGCCCCACCCTCCGCTGTCCGTTGCCACGTGGCGCTGCTTGAAAGCGCGGGCGCATTGAGGCAGCGGTCCATTCCAACCAATGCTTATAGCACTGGAGCAAGATAAGGATGAAGAAATAAACCGCTTTGCCGTTGATCAATCCCTTTGGGATGCGGCACGCATTCTACTTCCATTTGTACATTCGCAGTGGCATTTGAATGCGATGTGGCCTATACAATGACTTGCGGGGGCCAGCCGATGTTCAAGTCAGTGTTTTTTATCCTCCCAGACAAGTCTGGTACCAATTAACCGACCCCGGAGGGATGGAAGGCTTGGTTGGCCCGGGCGACTCACGACCCAGGATTTGTTCCGGACCGCTCCCGTGGTGAGCGCGCCACTTGTCACTACACCACTTCCGCCCGCAGAAGAAAATATCGTAACGAAAATGAGTAACTCTCGCCTACCAGCTGATTGATGAGGC